ACCAGACTACACAGCGCAACAACCCAGAAGACAGAAATCTTCATACTCTGATGATACCGACATGCCGAAGCAAGTAGTGTGTATGTAATATCACATGTGGTGTTAATAGTTTGTATATATTCATATGAGACACAGTAAATTAGTTGTGTAAACGGTACACCATTCTTTGTACGTACTACCCACAGATCAGAATGCAGCGATTGAAAATCGTATTCACCTTATTAATGATCTGATTTCCGGTACTTGAAAGTGTCAAATTATTTTTTCGTCTTTGCATAAGTGCATGGAATTACAAAGTTATGTCCTCCGCATGTTTTATCCTCGAAATGTCGTGTCATTACTTTAATTACTTTGGCACAGAGAATCTAGTTTTGACTTTGTGGTCTGAATTCCGCTTAGGTCGGCATCGGTTTAGTAAAAGGGTGACGTATATTCGCTAAGACGTGGTTTAGAACATTTACGAAAATAAAGTCTGATTTATCTTATACTGGTTTTGGACTTTTCTCGTCTTTTGTTGCAGGTGCTTGATTTTGTTTGTTTTTGCGCCATAGACAAACACTTAGTAAGTTTAGCCTCCAATTTCTGTTGAAGAAAGCATTACAGTAATTAAACACATTATCGTTATCTAAGATAATGAAGTGTATAGTGCACTGCTACTTTCGAGTTAATGGTGTGAAGTCAACATCGATAAGACGCGGGTTTCGGAGCATCGAATAGAGAGCTGAAGTCGCTTGGAAATGGCTTGTGTACACAAAGGCGTTCTTGAAAATATTTCTTCCATGTTTGATATCGTATTAACTTATTGTGCGCTTTCTTTACAACTCATGAAGACAATACCGTGTCTGTCTGCAGATTTCATCGCCGAAATTACTTTGCCTGATTGACTTTCTAAAAGTTAGTGTTAATATTCTGCGCTAAATTTAATGAGGTTAATTTAATTTTAATCCGCATCTATTCAGTGTAACACCTACTCTACATTGATTCTTAATAATAAATTGTTGTTTCCTAAAAACAACTTAACATTTAAAAGATTGTGACATAACCTTTTTACCAATTTTAACAATTTTTACTAACAGAATCGTTGTGTGTGGAGTATAATATCTTTATGGTGTGTGTAGTCTGAACATGATTAAGGTTAGCTTTACAGAAATAGGTTCTTATCTTTAAACGAACTTCAAGACTAATGTGGCACGCAAACAAAATAGAAAAAAACAAAAGCATATATGTGAACAAAGTTTATTTCAAACTGGAAAACATCTTCCTCTTGATAACGTAGAGACAATTTAATTGTTCACAAATGTTACCCTCTGAAGCACAAAGCTATCTAAATAAGATATATTTAATTATGTAGTTTCCACTTTATCGAAAACACAGTAGGTCTCTATTACAATATCAGTTGTTTACTATTTATTCTAAGAAAACTGTAAATACATTCATTGGGCAAAATATGGAGATACTGAATGTTATCGTAGGTGGTACACAGTCCTGTGAGTCACCAAAGTGCTTTAAATATGTAACCCGTACGTCTTAGAACAGCGATTTCTAACCTTATCACCCCGCGAGGAACTTCTGCAAAAAAGTCAGTCTTAAACTTCCAGCTAAAAATCTTCCTGGAGCCTTTCTGCCATACAAGTAGAAA